CGTGCTATGGCCTTAATTACTTGTGAACTTATGTGGATTAAGCAACTTCTTCAAGAGTTAAAGTTTTGTGAAGGTCATCCAATGAAGTTGTATTGTGATAATCAAGCTGCACTCCACATTGCCTCCAATCCAGTATTTCATGAGAGAACTAAACATATAGAAGTTGACTGTCATTTTGTTAGAGAGAAGTTGCTATCTAAGGAAATTGTTACCAAATTTGTCACATCCAATGAACAACTTGCAGATGTTATGACTAAGTCATTGAGGGGGCCTCGCATTCAGTTTTTATGTTCCAAGCTTGGTGCATACAACCTATATGCTCCAGCTTGAGGGGGAGTGTTAGAATAGCTTATTAGAGAAGCCTTTGTATTTATTTAATATTTCTTTTATATGTCTGATGTGTGTCTTAGACTCCTAGGGTTCAGTATTTCTATGTACTCAATATGTTATATATAATAAAAATGAAAGAAGTGTGGGCAACGCACACTATTTTTCTCAAATCTTAATATTCAAGTTGGTATCAGAGCGGGTCCGATCCCGCTCTGTCGTCCGCCGCTGTCCGCCGCCGTCCGCCGCCGCCGGCGACCAAATTCTCCAGCGAACTTAGGGTTTGGTGCGCCTCTTTGAGCGCAACCCAACCCTGGTGGTTTTGAGCGCATCGAAGTCTCCACGCGCTCCCACGCGCCGCTCCAACTGTCTGGTCCGTCACGCGCGTGTGTCTCACGCGCCGCCTTCTGGCCGCCGGAAGTCCACCGCGCCGCCATCGTTGTGCTCGCCCAAGCTGTCTGGGTCTGTTTCAGACCTCAGTGTGTTGTTCAAGTTGTTCGTTTGAGTTGCAGTCACTGTTCATCTTCTCTTTGAGTTGCGGTCACTGTTCATCTTCTCCGGTTGTTCCAGTTGTTCCCTCTTCTTCGTATGGCATCTCCAGGTCAGGTTGAAGCTTCTGCAATGGTTTCTAGTCAAGGGAGAAGTGTTTGTCCTCAATGCTCATACTGCAAGAGGATAGGTCATATCCAAGAGAATTGTTATTCTCTTCATGGTTTTGCAAATCTGTCCAAGAAATTAAAAAAAACTGATAGAATGGTCCCTAAAGATGACTATCAGAAAAGCCGTTCATTTAGACAGATGCTTGTGGGCGGAGTTTTGATGAGCTGAAGAGGAGGTTGACTACTTCTCCTGTGCTGGTGTTGCCCGACTCTAGTGAATCTTTTGATGTGTATTATGATGCTTCTCATCAGGGTCTGGGGTGCGTGCTGATGCAAAACAGGAAAGTGGTGGCATATGCTTCAAGGCAACTTAAGAACCATGAGAGGAATTATCCCACTCATGATTTGGAGTTAGCAGCTGTGGTGTTTTCCTTGAAGATATGGAGACACTATTTGTATGGTGCTCGATTCAGCATCTTCAGTGATCATAAGAGTCTGAAGTACTTGTTTGATTAGAAGGAGCTGAACATGAGACAGAGATGGTGGATGGACTTTTTGAAGGATTATGACTTCTAGTTGATGTATCATCCTGGTAAGGCCAGTGTTGTGAAGGATGCGCTGAGTAGGAAATCCATCCACATGTCTAGTATGATGGTGAAAGAGCTGGAGCTGGTAGAGGAGTTCAGTGATTTGAACCTCTATGTGGGGTTAGCTTAGGATCACATTAGTTGTGGAATGATTACCATAACTAGTGAGTTCTTGAGCCAAGTTGGACTTAAGCAGTTGCAAGATGTTGAGCTGGTGAAGCTTCTTGGTTTGTTGGGAACTGAGAAGGCTGTTGGTTTTGAGCTGAGCAGAGATGGAATCTTGAGGTTTAAGGGCAGAATTTGCCTACCTCAGGATGTTGAGCTGAAGAGAGCTGTGTTGGAGGAAGGCCACAAGAGCAGACTTAGCATACATCCTGGTATGACTAAGATGTACCAAGACCTCAAGAAGACTTTTTGGTGGTCTGGTATGAAGAGGGAGATAGTTGAATATGTGGCGGCCTGTCTGACCTGTTAGAAGGCGAAGGTGGAGCATCAGAAGCCTAGTGGGTTGATGCAGTAGATGGAAATTCTGGAATGGAAGTGAGATAGTATCACTATGGATTTCATTGTGGGGTTGCCTAAGTCGGCTATGAATAGTGATGCTATCTGGCTGACTGTTGATAGGTTGACCAAGTGTGCGCATTTCTTGCATGTCAACATCAAGTGGTCCTTGGAGAAGCTGACGCAATTATATGTGAGGGAAATAGTACGGTTGCACGGGGTGCCTTCTAGTATTATTTCAGACAGAGATTTGAGGTTCACTTCCAGATTTTTGCAGAGTCTACATCAAGCCTTAAGCACGAAGTTGAAGCTGAGTTCTGCTTATCATCCACGCCCACCGACTATCCGCAAAGAACCACGCACCTTCCCCAATACTTGGTTAAGGGAATAACCTTCAATCTCATACCCCGCTCCAACACTAGCTAGGGACTTAGAGGAGACTCACCCAAACCAGTAGCTTATTCAAGAACCACTCTCACCCAAAACAAGGGCCTATCTAAACACCACTCTCATTTATATTACTGGTCTATCCAAGCACCACTCTCAAGAAATTCTATGTGAGTTCTTCTAGTTCAAAAATATTTCCCTCTTCTTAAGTCCTAGGCTAGACACATGCCATAAGGCATCAACAATAATGCATCATACATCACACATGGTTAATCCACCATCATGATCAATATCATCCTCATATGAACATATACACATGTCATATCATATTTAAACATTCATACATGCCATTATCAAGCATACATATGAATCATACATCATATATCATCCATACATGATCAAATCTTCAACTTTAAACATGCATAAACATAATTTTCAATCAAAAACATCAAGTACATTCACGCCCGGCGCAGCCCACTCACGCCCGGCCTAACATCCAACCTGAGACTAGAGCTGTCAAAACGGGCCAACCCGGCCCACATGGACCGGCCCACCTTGACCCACTTTAAAAACGAGCCAACCCAACCCGGCCCACTTTTAATTTTCTCAAAAAAAAATTGGCCCAGCCCGGCCCACCACGGGTTGGTGGGTTATACGGGCCAGCCCACCAGCCCACCAAAAATTAAAAAATAAAAAATATCAACAAAATTTTAAATTTTAAATTAATTATAAATTAACATAATAGTCATAAATTAGCATAATTAATAGTCATAAATCATAATTCATCTTACAAAATTAAATGCAAATCATGATAAAAGTCTAAAATAAAAATTTTCAATATCCCATCATACAAAATTAATTACAAATCATACTTAAATTTTTATTGCAAAAAAAAAAGGTGGGTTGGTGGGCTACCCGGCCTACCACGGGTTTAGCCCGGGTGGGCCGGGATGAAAGTGGGCCAGGTTGAGATATACCCACCTACTATAAAACTTCAAATTTTTTTTGCCTGGCCCGGCCCGTTTTCAAGGTGGGTCGGGTTGGCCCACAGGTCCCGGCCCACTTTGACAGCTCTACCTGAGACCCCTAAGCTCTTCCATGCCCGACACGATCAGCTTGTGCCCGGCCTAAACCCAACCCGAGAGTCCAAAATCTCATCCACGCCCAGCGTGAAATCCCCATGCCAAGCGTCCTTGAAGTAGAGACTCATAGGAGTCTCCACTCCCGGCGCACCCACCCTACGCCCGACGCCATCCAGACAGAGACCTCCAGAGGTCTCCACACCCGGCGCTTACCCTGGGCCCGATGCCTTATCAGTAAAACACCCACCAAGCCACTATTTGATATCACGCCCGGCGTG